AGATCTGCTGAGCTAGAACATGCATTTTAACAAAATCCCTGGGCGATTCATTTGCAGGTTAACGACTAGCCTAAGGATCGCCTCAGCTCTGAGAGGGCCCAGTCTTCTCAGGCAGGGATGCTGCCCTCAGCTTGGCACTGCAAAACTCCCCAACAGCCAGCTGCTCCAGACTCCCCAACACCAGCGACTCCTGAGCGCCATCTGCTCAATCCCACCCAGGACAGTGACATAGATTCCAGGGTTCTCGATGTGCTTCCTGCCCCCCCACCTACACCACTGACGGCCGTTCCCTCCCTAGCGTGCTCCTGAGCTCCCGTGCCCAGCTGACCCGCACGTCTCGGGCTCTGGTCAGAAAGCTACCTGAGGCCTCCGACCACTACGCCTAGCACTGCTCTGCATGGCTCAGCGCCCAAGCTCCACGATTCAGGGGCCCAAGCTGGAAGGAAAGATTCCAGCCCACTCTAGTGCCTGGGTTTTAGCTCTCTAAAGACGCCTAAAGATTCAAAATGCACAACCCCAAGGGTATACGCAGAGATCTCTTGCACTCTAAGAGAATTGCTGCTGACTGAATTGTTTCTACACGATGTGCGACTGCAGAAATGAAAAGGAATGTTACAAATGAGAGTCAACAGACTTTCATCACAAGTTCCTGGCTCAGCCCCCTTTGCACTTGGCTTCCTACGCTTAATCCCTACAACAGGTCTACTAACCACCCTCCCTTGTCCTGCCCCAAGTCTAGGCCTAAAATCACGCTGACTCCTTCCCTAAGGCTTCCTCTCGCCAGCAGACAGGTCTGAAGCAATCGACACAGTAGATCACAACACGCCTTCTGGGGTCAAGGCCTGAGTTTGCCATGTGCCTGGCACTATGCCTGCTCCACCCTCAGGATGACCAGGCTTCTCCAAGCAGGCACAGCTGAAAGGGAGTCACTGTGGGCGAAAGGACTCCTGAACAAACCCCACGTATAGGTTTATGGACCCCACCCCCAGCACAGACCAGAGAGCGCCAAGACACCCAGGACGACGAATCCCAAAATGTCATCACCGCGCCAGGAGGGTGCTGGCGCGAGGCGGACTCAAGCAGCCAGACTTGGTGCGACCAGGCTGTGGGCCTCGGGGGTCCTTGGTTTTTCACCAGCTTTCAGCGTGCTCAGAACTGGTAGTTCGCATTCACCAATTTGTCTCTCTTTCTCCCTGAGTTACTCCTTTCTTCATGTCCCCTTTCTTAGCCTTTCTGTGTGCGCCTGCAGCTAGGTCTCGTAAGTCCCTTTGAAGTGCTGGGGTGAGGGCCCACAGTCAGGCCCCCCTATTTCACACTGGGGTTGCCCTGGAACAGAACCACCATGGCCAAGCCCCAAGGGGCTGGGCCTAGGCCTCTACAGTCTCCTTAGCCCACCGCTGACGAGGTCCCGCTGACTTGTGAATGACAACCTGCCCGACAGCTCAGCGTTCACGCAGCCCCTTCTCCTTTTCAACTACACTCTCCAGGTGATCTCATCCACTCGTGTGGCTTCAACACCATGTCTGCTAATGACCCCCAAATTTACACCTCTACCTTCAACCTCTCCTTGGGCACCAGATTCGTCTGTCCAAATACCACCCTATTGGTTTGGTTTTTTGTTTTGTTTTGTTTTTTTCAGCTTTTCTTACAGCTTTATTGAGGTATAACTGACATATAACAAACTACATGTATTTAAAGTGCCAAGCTGATTGATTTTGATACATGTATACACTCAGGAAACTACCCTATCAAAATAATGAACATGTACGTCAACCCCCTGTTTCCCCAGGGTCCCCACAGTGATCCATCTCCTCATCCAGGCCCAGGCAACCAATGGTCTGCCTTTTTTCACTAAAAATTAGTTTGCATTTTCTACAGTTTTACTTAAATGGAACCACATAAACTGTATTCTTTTCTGTCCAGCTTCTTTCAGCCATCATAATAATTTTGAGATTCACCTATGTTGTGCTGCATAAATCAACAGCTCATTGTTTTGTTTTGTTTTCTAACTGAGTTGTATTCCACTGAGGGGCTACACCAAAACTGGATTATGTCACAATGCCGACGGGCATTTGAGGTGTTTTCAGTTTAGGACTCACCCAAAAAACGCTGCCATGAACTTTACTATACCCTTTTAAATACAAACGAATGCTTTCATTTCTCTATAAAGTAAGCATCCAGGAATGGGATGGCTAAGCCATATGTTAGCTGCATGCTTAACTCCTTATGGAATTGCCAAGTTGTTTGACAAAGTGGCTGTGGGGTTTCATATCCCACCAGCGGGTATGAGCCTTCCAGGCGCTCTGCATCCTCGCCAGCACTGCTTAGGGTCAGCCTTTCGGACTTCAGCGCTCCAGCGGGTTTCCAGGAATAACTTGGGTTTTTAATTTGTATTTCCTAATGACTAATTATGTTGAATATCTTTTTATAAGTTTGTCAACTATGTATCTTATTTAGTAAAATATCTGTTTAAAATTGGAAATGGCTTTCTTAATTGAGCTGTTTATTATTAACTATAATTTTTTTATATTCTAGATAAGTCTTTGATCACATAAATGTTTTGCAAATATTTCTCCTGGTCTGTGGCTTGCTTTTCATTTTTGAAGCAGTGTCTACTGACAAGCAGTTTAAATTCTGATAAAGTCAATTATTTTATTTTTCTTTTATGTTTCATATTTTTATGCTCTATTTAGGAAATACTTGCCAAATCTCAGATCACTAAAATTATCTCCTCTGTATTATTCTGGAAAATTTCTATTTTTTACCCAAACATTTAGAGCTATGATCTATTCCAAGTTAACTTGAATATGACTTAAGGATCGAACTTCACTGGTTTGCATATGGCTACACAATTATAACACCACATTTGTTGAAAAAATACCATTCCCTCATTAAATTACCTAGACAACTTTGTAGAAAACCACCAGAGTATGGGTCATTTTCTGGACTCTCTATTTCTGGACTCTCTCTAATCTATTGATCTATATATGTATGTTCACTCAATATCTTAATACCGCCACACCATTTGTTCATCTGAGTTTTAAAATAACTCTGAAAATCAAGTTACTACAACTTTATTTTTTGTTTTGGCTATTCTAGGTCCTTCACTCTTCCTTATAAATGTTAAAACCAGTCTGTTAATTTCTACAAAGAAGTGTGCTAAGACTCTGCTTGGAATTGTGCTAAATCTACAGATTAATTTGAGTAGAACCAGCATCTTAACAATCTTGAGTCTTACAACCCATGAGTGCAGTAATCATCATTTATTGAGGGCTTCGTTTCTCTCAGTAATGCTTTATTGCTTCAGCATACATGTTTCTCACACATTTGATCAAACTGACCCCTAAGTATTTCCTATTTTTTGATCCTAATAAAAATTACACTTAAAGAAAATTTTTTATTTCAAGTTTTTCATTGCTAGTATATAGAAGTACAATTGAGGTTTATATGTCAGCCTTCTGTCCTGCATCCCGGCGATGTTCATTCATTAGTTTTAGTACCTTTTTTCATACCTTCCTTAGGAATTTACACATAAAAAAATCCTACAGTCTGAGAATAAAGACTATTTCCCTTCTTCCTTTCCCCAGTACAGTGCTAAATAAAAGAGAGGAAAAGGAACATTCTTGCTTAATTCTCAGCACTGGAGAAAAGCATTCAATCTTTTACCACTAAAAATGATGTCAGTTTTAACCCCAAGATGTCCTTTCACAAACTGAAGCAGTCCTCTATTCCTAGTTTGGAGTCAGTTTTTATCATGAACAGTTGTGTACTTTCGTCAAATGTATTTTCTGCACCTATTGAAATGATGACCTTTGGTGGAATTGTGATATTAGCTTAGTGTATTAATATGTAAATGAAAGGGAATTGTTTTTCAAATATTAAGCCAACCTTGCATTCCTGGGTCAAACTCCACTTGTTCATGTTTATTATCCCTTATCATGTTACTGCTTTCTGTTTGCTAATATTTTGTTATGTGGCATATTTATTGGCCTAAACTTTCTTTCTTATGTCCTTTCCTGTTCTGGTATTAGGAAAATGCTGATCTCATAGAAGGAGCTTGAAAAGAAGTCCTTTTGTATTTTCTGGGAACATCTGTATAGAATTGGGATTAGTTCTTCCTTAAATGTTTAGAATCCATCAGTAACTGAAATCCATAGGTCTCCATATAGTCTCAACATCTCATTTTCGAGACAGAAATTAAAACTTAACACAGCCAAACAGAATTGATACATGTCCTTCCCCACTATTCCTTACTTTAATGACATCACACCCACTTTGCTTGAGCCAGAATCTTATAACTTATCCTTGATTCCCCTCTTTCATTCTATTCCTCCAATCCATTTTCAAGTCTCATCAGCTCTACTTTTAAAATATATCCCTACTTCCCCACTATTTACTATTCTAACCCGGTATAAACTTACCACCTGACACCCCAATGCACATTTACCCTCACTACAACCTCTTCGTTTTCCATTGACAGACACAGATGAAGACTGAAACCCAGCATATCCTCGTATTTAAAACATTTCTTCTGCAATCAGATCTCTGTCTTATAAAAATACAGTCTGTTGCTGTCTGCCAGGAGAAGCCCAATCACCAGTCCCACAGAACTGGGTTGATACTGCCCAGCTTGTCCAGAAAAGGGAGCAGGAATGTGCCAAAGGCATCACTGCGGTAAGCGGCCTTTCTAGTTGTCGCAACATGACTCGTGAGGAAGTAATGTGTACCAAGTTCGGATGTGTCCTAAAAGCTTTTTTTCCCTAAAAACTACCAAGCCATTTGACAGGATAGACAAGTCACAGGGGAAGAAACAAGCAGAACTCAAATCCTGGTGTCTGCCCCCCCAGATGCTTCTAAATCCCAAGTATGAAGGCCTATTTCTGAGGCCACATAGGAGCTCAGGGCTCTGTTACTACTTTAGTCTGTGGGGCCTCATCCATGTACCGTGGAAGACAAAAAGCCTGAGAATTCTAGAATTGGGAAAGGAAAATGTAACTCACCTTCCACTGTTCTTCAGGAAGCAGCTTCACAACCACCAGATCCCCATTCAAGGCTCTATTACGAGCAACAACCCCATCGATGAAAATGTCCCGGTCACCATCCTGGGTTGGAGGGAGAAATAAGTCAGTTTACCAAAGCCTGTAATCAAAACTTCCCTGGTTTAAAATTTATAAAAATCTGTCCACTGACTTGACAGGAAGACTGTAGCCATACACATCTGGAGGAAGCTCTTGACGCTTCAGAATTAAGTGAAATACTGATGATCACAAAAGATCAGATTATCAGAAAGCTTAATAAATCAAGAAGCAGGTCAAAAACAAAACTAGAGAGAGCAACACTGAGACTGCCTGCTTTCCTGACCAAGCTGAGAAAGGAGTAGATTATCAAGTTACTCGTTTTCATTTTGAATAATATAAAGCACAAGAATACCTTTTCTACACTAGCTGGATTTCCTTTTAAGTGTCAGAGAATGATTTTTTTTTCAAAGATTTATTTATTTATTTGTACAGAACTGGGGTACAGGCCAGAGATGCAGAGGGCGAGAGGATTCACCAGAGACAGAGTGGGGAGCAGAACAGGCAGATCGATGAAGTACACTGCTGAGGGGAGCAGCGGACGGGTCAGGAGAGGTCTGCCACACCATGTGGTCACCTCCGGGGCAGGCGGGGATCGAACTCATGCGGAAGTGGCTTCAGTTTCTTTGTGCTGTGCTTTAACCCGCTGCGCCACCAGGGAGGGCCCCAGAGAATGATTTTTTTTAAAAATGGTTTACAAGAAACCAGAACAACAACATAAAGTGTCCTAAGAAAAACATCTAGGAACAGGAGCAGCAACCAGCCCTAATTTTGGGTTCTCTAGGAGAAACCCAGCAAAATCCTACTGCCTCTGGCAGAGAGGGCAAGTTGTGGTCACTTGCAGGGAGCAAAAAAAAGCACAGGAGAAAAGAAAGGGCCATAGCCTGCGTCTCGGGGAGTGTTCTCAGCCACCCCCTCTCACACGGCCGCCATGTGAGTTCCCGGCCATGAACATGACTGGGCACCGGAACCTTCAGCCTCAATCACTCACTTCCAGACCCACTTTAAGCACCCCCGGGCATTGATGCCTAAATGCCAGTAGGCACCGGTCCTGTGCCACACGGCTTTGCAAAAACACTTAAATGGAAAAGATAGCTAAGGAAAAGCACACCTTCAGCCCCAAACCCCCGTGAACAGATTAAACATTTTCAAAATGGTTCATCAACAAGCATACAAACAAGTACCCTTCCCCGTCTGGCCCTTCTAAAACTTAGGCCATATACTTCTTTCCAGAACATGAGAGCAAAGGAAAATGTGGATTTTTCTTAAAGGCGGTAACTGCAAATAGGTTTGCAAGACCATGCAACATTTCCTAATAGAGACACTGATGTAAGACTTAACATTCAACCAACTAGTTAAAGTTCAAATTAGTATTCTAAAGTCACCCAACCTGGCCCCAAAATGGGATTCTAGACACTCCAACCTTTTTCCTTCTAGTTTTCCACCACAAACCATGAGGAATCTTTTAGAACAGCCTTAGCCTTTCTGTCCAGTTTCCAATCCAGCCATGGTCTGGCAGTGGCCTGCACTTTGCCAATGCTGACCCTCCCCCGGGAGCCCCCTCCCCTCTGCTCTATCAGCTTGTCCATACGTGTCAGCAGTCAGGCTAACTCGGGGGCACTCACAGGATGACTCTCAAAGCACCACATGGAGCCCCCTTGTCACCCAGTCAAGAAACACCAACCCCAGCGGGCACTGGAGACAGGACAGATGTGCTCAGTGCCCGGGGCATGAGCTCCCTGCCTCGTGGTGCAACTCTGAAAAGCCATGTCTTCACACACCAGGCCCCTAAAACAATCGCACTCCTTCTACTGGCCCTGCCAATGAAGGAAGAGTCATTCTTTCTAACATGGAGAAAATGCCGGGTACACTGACTTCACGAGGGGCATAAGCTAAGAGATTTTCACGGGCTGTTTCTGTGATTACTGGCTGTGATTTCACCTTGTGAGCAACTCTAGAATCTACCACCCAAGTAAACCAGGCTTCCCGACTGATGGAGCTGCTCCAGGAGCTAATTTACTTTCTCAAACTTGACCTCAATTCTAAACCCAAACACCAGGGCCACCAACTATACCGTGTTCTGCAACAGGAACAGAGTTATGACTCAGAGAGTACTGTGAAATATCAGTGACGCTTTTTCCTCTAATCCAATGGATAAAAACTGAATTGAGACACAAACTTAGTTCCTGGAGGACAGGGAGAAAAAGGACAGAGTTTGAGAACAGGGCTTAAGGTTACTGTAACAGTAACAATAAAAATTATAGCTACGGGGGTGGGAAGAGCGCACAGGACTAGTGCGCAGGCACAGGGGTGAGCTCCATGGGGAAGTCCACAGAGCTACAGCTGAGATGCAAAAGTGCATAAAGCGAAGAATGATGTAAAATAAATAAATCTATTTTTTTAAAAATAACTATGAAATACAAGACTGAACTCAGAATTGTCACTAAATGAGACATTTCGCACGGGAAATTTGCTAGCCAAGGTAGATGTACTCCATTTCCTCATCTACTAGCAACCCACCACCCCTGTGGACCTTCTGCTCTGAAAAGCCTCTGATTCTACAGCCACCCTATTTACAGAGTCCTGGAAAGAGTAAGCGAAATTTAAGAATATCGCTCTTGTAGCCTGGCACAGCGAGCCGCACGCAGAGACCTGCCTCTCACTGTCAGAGAACCTGAGAAAACGAGGCACGAGCATAAGAAAGGGCATGGAGAGGCGACGGCAGAGAGCCTTTGGCCAAGCCCCACCACCTGCACAACAGTCAAGTGGGAAATGCTAGCCAAGAAAGAAGCATCGCTCGTCGGTTCTGGACAAATCTGCAGATTCGTTCACGCCGCAGACCCACAGTAGAGTGTCTTTGTTTAGGGAAGATCAACCTGAACCAGTGGAAAAGCCCGTAAGGCCTTTGAAGCTGCAAGCCGCGGCGGGCATCCAGTTACGTGAGCTGCTGGGTACCTGCGTGGGCTCAGCCGCGCTCCGTGGCGGGCACAGCTCACCCCTTTCACTTGAAGCGTGACTGAGACTGGCACAACGGCACATTTAGTTTATTTAAGTTTGAAACAAATCCTTGCCCATCCTCGATTTTGTGTTACTACTCTGCTTATTAGACAGCATATATGATTTCAGCTTCTGAGCGCATCTACAAAATCAAATGTGACATTGAGTTTATTATAAAAGTTATTGAACTTACCGGGGAAGGAATGAAGGCTTCGTGAAACTTCTTTGGATTAATTCTCAAGACACCCTTTAAAATAAAACATAAAATCTGTGAAATTTTACTTCGGTACATACTTCGGGCTTTTCCGTATGTATACTATTCTCCAATAAAACGTTTCTAAATTAACTGGACAGTCCAACCTAGGAAACAAGTTGGCGGGAGGAGCGCTGTTCAGTCAGAGCAGGGAACAGGTTCGGGTGACGTGGGCCCCACAGGGCTCCCGGGACCCGGGGTGCACGCGGCGCCGGCCACACGCAGGCAGCGTGGAGGGCAGCGGCGCTGGCCGGCGCGGGAAGTGGCCGCCCTTTGGGCTTTATGCGACAGACGTGCTCGTCTTCAAATGTGAACCTTTACTTTAAGGGCATGGTCCCCTGGGACTTAGCCCACTACATAACGGCCTTTTTGTTCTCTAGACCTTTCCACAATTGCTGGTGCAGTGACAAGTTTCCAAGGGCCCTGGGGTGATTTCCAACCTGGATTCTTTGCCGCCAGGGGCTGGATGGGTACTTTTCTACTCGGGACCCTCCCACAGAGCTGAATGAGTTAACCGTTCAGAATGGTCCAGAAGCAGCTCTTGATGTAAGTGGGAGTCCTGGCTCCAACAGTCAGGCCACCCAGTCTGCCTTCAACTTCATGTCATTCCAGCACCAAGGCAGGTGCGCAGGAGGGGGCCGTCTGCACTGGCAGTTCAGGATTTCAGGCCCGGGAGGGAAGACGGTCCCTCCCCAGGTCCCAAAGGAGGCTGGACTGAGGCTGGACTTTGTGGACAGAGGTGGTCGCTTTCCTAAAAGCCAGACTCCAGGGGTGGCTGCAGAACGTGTTTTCAATAATTTGTCTCCCCTAAAATGTCGACAGGCTCAAAGACACATAAATAACCAAAGAGGGGGGTTCGGAAATAAAGCAGAAAATAGTGCTGTTACTGCAGCGTGCGCAGGTGACCCGTTTCGCCGGCGGCCTTTGCTGTCACTGCCCAGGCAGACGGCCACAGAAGCCTGTCCGCCCTCGCTCGGCGGCAGCAACTCACTGAGCACAGCCAGGCAGACGGCCACAGAAGCCTGTCCGCCCTCGCTCGGCGGCAGCAACTCACTGAGCACAGCCAGGCAGACGGCCACAGAAGCCTGTCCGCCCTCGCTCGGCGGCGGCGACTCACTGAGCACAGCCGCGCACACTATCCCGAGGCAGCGTGGGGGAGGCATCCCCTCACAAGGCGCTAGGGAGGGTGCGGCGCAGGCAGTGGGCCTCGGGGCGCCTGATGTGCCCCGTGAGCAGCAGACTCCACAGGGAGGCGAGAAGGGAAATGCAGGCAGAGGATGCCTCAGCGGCAGGCAACGGGCAGCCACTCCACTCGAGGCCGCAGCTCTGCTTAAGGCTGGGGACAGGGGCAGGAGACAAGGCTGCCGGGCCCGCTGAGGTCGGCCCTTTCACAAGTGTCCCTGCAGGGCCACTGCTAGGTCAGCTGCTCCCTGCCGGGAACGTGGAAAGGGCAACATTTATCCAGAGCAACCGTCCACTCACTGCACAGATGCCCCTGGTGGCCAGCGCGCCAGGCACTGTGCTCAGCGAGGGGAACCCATGAAGAGGCAGGGCAGACCCTACCGCGGAGAGCCTCCAGCAGGAGCAGAAGACGCCTCAAGTAATAAAAGGCAAGCCCCTGGAGTTCAAGTTGTTTTAATTTGAAAAGTTTTCTCTCCTGAGAAAGAGAGAGCTGAGACTGCCTCCTGGGTCCAGAATGTCTTCAGTTACAGGCACTCAGAGAGGCCAAGGCTGGGCCCGGGAAGGGGACGGGCGGCCCAGGCCTGCAAGTGCCGACAGGCCTGGGAGAGCCCGAGCTCCCAGCCCAGACGAAGGCAGGAAGGGGCCGAGGCTGCTCACGAAAGGCACTGCAGGGTCCTGGCGGGAACTGCTGGAACTGAGCCTGGGGCCAGACCCGCCGCGCACGCTCGTCACCCCGCGAAGACGGGGCTGTAAGCGAGCCGCGGCGGCCCCAGAAAAGCTGTCGATAAACATGTCCAAGCGCGGCTGGTCCAAGAGCCTCCCGCAGACATCCGGGGGTGCACGTTTCATGACCCCGCCCTCGTGCACCCCTGCGCTCTCCTTCCTCCGAAGCCCTTTTCCAAGGCTGGAGCTGGGTCGGTGGGGCCTTTACCCTCCCCTTCTGCGCAAGGGCCGGGGCCTCCATGCCTTGACGGCAACGCAGCTGTCCCCCGACATGGTGACCTGGCCTGAAGTGCTCTCTCAGGCAGTCTCTGCACCCCTCCCACCCTACGTGTCTCGGGGACCCAAAGAAGGGTGCTCCCCCCACCGACCGCCTCCCCACTGTAGCTTTGAAATATTTGCTTCCTCCCTTCTCTTTCGAATCCCCTAGACCCATGAGTCTACTTGCTGCTGCGCCTGCCGTCCCTGCACCCCACTGCTGGCCACGCTGGCGTCTCCGCATCTGGCTGGTGGGGCAGCCGGCGGGTCAGTAATACCCGCCACCTGTCCCGTACACACACCAGCCGCCCGCAACGAGAAATACCAAGTGTCACACTCCAATCACAACCTTCTATTTTTCGGGTCACTTAAGGCAGAAACAACTTTCACAGGCCTGCACCCCCACTAAGACCTCTAGCCTACCCGGCCACAGTCCCCCAGGCATGCCCTCTCTGACGCCTGGCTGGCGTGGCTGCCACTAGCTCAGTCCTGGGCCCTGGGCCGGGCTCTCCAGGCCAGCTAGGAAAGCCTCACTTTCCACGGACCCCAGACAACGGCTTCTCCACGCCTGCCCCAAGGAGCCGAATGTTACTACGGGAAAAGCCCACACAACTGGGCTGAGTGGCCGGCATTCTGTTTGAGAACTTACAACTGGGGAATTTCACACTTAAATATGTATTTCCAGATTTTCTTGAAAAAGCAGCTCTTCCCCATGGCAGCAGCCACCTGAAGGAGAAAGAGGCAACACCCTCCCGGCTGTGCGCAGCGGCCACACGGGGAGCGAGGGCGTCACATCCTCAGCTGACCCAACGCCAGGGCGGGCCCATGGGGTGGGCAGCGTGCCCTCACCTGAGAGCGGGAGGGAGCGAACCGCCCGCCCCGCACCACACTCCGGGCCAGGAGGGCGGCCGCAGCGGCCAGCTCTCCCTCGTGAGGGCTGCTGGTTGCCGTGGTCACCCCAAGGCCGGCTCACTCACGCGCGCCGCGGCCTCCTCCAACTCAGCACCTGCTTCCTGGCCTCCGACTTCCCTCGACTGGCCTTGGCCCCGATCTGCCTGCCCGACTGGAAAGCTTAGGACTCGGGCACAGTCCTCCTGCCCTCTTCCACCTCCAGTCCATCGAGCATGGGCCGGCTCCCCCTCCGCCGCTGCTCCCTCATTCTCCCCCAGCTGTTCAGGCCTCGGTGTTTGCGCGCCTGGCGCACTCTGCCCGCCTCCGACGTGGTCTCCCAGCTCTGCGCTAGTCAAGCTGAGTCCCAACTGCCAGATGACTGTCTTAGAGCGAAACCGACCACCTGCCCCCGGCCTAAGGCCTCTCCAAGACTCCGCGAGCAGCTTCATCCAGCACAGCTGAAAGGCTGCACGGCTGGCTGCGGCCAGAACTGCCGCTCATTCCCACATCACAGTCCTCTTTGCTCTCTGCAGCCCACGGGCCTCCTTCTGAGTCCCTGAAAACCTCAAGCCTTTTTCTGCCTGCTGGTGCTCCCCCGAGTCCGCTCCCTGCTTAGAATGTGCTTGTCCCAGCTCTTCAGCTAGCTGCCTCCTCACCCTCACTCTCAACCCAGCGAGGCCTGGCCAGCTGCATGCCCAGCCCCTCATGACCCCCCACTCGCCCCCCTTGCATCCTCAGGGGTGCCCGCCTCAGGTTCCAGTCTCCGCTTCCTGTCTGTTTTGGCCTCCCCCTCCCCCCACCGAAGTGCCTGTCTGGCTCACTGGTGTATGCTTGGCACTTGGTAAAGGGTCAAGAAATAGTTGCTGAATTATTTAATTAATGTCAGCAGAGTCGAGGGTCACCCACTGGCCCTGGACGACACTGCGGTATCATCTGCTCCTTCTCAGCAACCGGACAGTCTCTGTGCTGTCACCTCTGTCCTTCTCTGTAATTCACACCTCAGTGTTCTCCAGCTGATTTCACTCTTAACAGATGGCAACGGTCCCAGAAACTAGCCCATCCTGCCCACTCTTCCCAGACTAGAATTTCCTTCAAGGTCCAAATACAACCTTATACCAATATTTAATTCTAGGGAGATCTCTGACATCATGCTTCAGGCAGCTCTGGGGCTCAGCCTGAGCCCCCTCTGGGACCCCCAAACCAGCCAATCCCACCATCTCCATGCCCACGCTGCCCTCGGTCATCGCCCAGACCTGCGTCCCTTCCATGCCTGCCTATCGCCAGCCCTCTCCGCTTCCTGCTCGGCACCCTCATACTGTCCTGCGCAGGGATGAAGTGGGCCCGTTTTTCGACAGGAGATGAGAACTTGTCTCCAAAATAAGTCTCGAAGTGCATGTACATGACACCGTATTATTGCTGTGCTCAGTTCAAACAAAGGAAAGCGATTTCTCTGGTCCCGAGGGATTCCTCTTCCCACAGGACAGAGCAACGCCCACGTGCTGGTCAGCTCTGGAACGCAAAGGTAGCCTGTTCTTCTACTCTGATTTTAAAATTCCTCCTGATACCGCTCAGTAAAACTTCCTTCTCTGGATGGGCATGGGGAAAGCAGCCACAGCACATTGAAGTTTGAAAGCAAAAGCTCACGCACGCTTGAAAGTATATCCACTCAGCTTCGTTTTCTGCAACAGCCCTCAAACATCTTCTGTCGTTCAGCTCTGCCCTTAGCCTCAGCCATCATAGCCTGCACAGAAAGTTTGTATCAGAAAGCAGATGGGCCCTGTTTCTCTGCCTATGAAAATCTTATTTACAGTGTTGTATATTTCACACGGTGACCTCATTTCTGGAACCCATTCCTTTCCCATCTGCACAGAACAACTGTTCTCATCGTGGGGGGAGCGCTGGCTACAGTCTCCTGGTGTCACAGGCCAGGAAGAAGCACTGACAAACTCCAGGGAGCGAGAGCTATCCCACTGATCAGAATTTTAGTTGCTGTATTTTAATACCAGCAAGAGTTGCTTCAGAAGCAAAAATTAATAGAGAAGCAAAACTAATACCACCACAAAACGTCCCTCACCAGGTTTCTGTAAGTTCGCCACAAAATGATCAGCAGCGTTTCTTTCAAGTTACATCAACTGTGAGGCTCCCTCGCTCTACTCCATGAGACAAAGCCTTGAGCCCTTAGTCATCAGTAAATATTTATTCAACATAAACCTACTAAGCATCAATCCAATGCCAGGCTAATGTGCGGGGATTAAGCATGACCTTGCCCGCAAGGAAGCGATCAGCCCATCTGAGGAAACCTTAAATGCCGGGAAATGGTAGTGGGTTTAGAGTAAGGCCAAACAGAGCTGTCGCTGCAGGAAAGCCTCGAGCCAACTCGCTCAGGGAAGGCAGGCTTCCGAAAGGGGGTGGCGGCTGGGGGGGGGCTGAAAGGTCACACACGCGTCCGCCGAAGTGGCGTGGGGACACTGTGTCGAAGGGGGAAGCAAAGAGCAGAGTGTTTACGGGAAACGCCTGGAAGGCCAGGATGCCGGGAGCAGAGCGTACCTGCAGGAGGAGCAGGACAGCGGGGAGGGCAGGCGCCTCGAGCGTGCAAGCAGACGTGGGCCGGGCTCAGCGGCCGGCTCACGCGGGGCTGCAGGATGCAACAGCAGCCCAAGTCCGCACAGCTCTAGTTCCTTGAGAGGCCTCACTAGAGGCCCACGGGAGCTTTACAAAGGCGGCCACCAGCCCCTGTGAAATCCGAAAGCCCCGCTCGTCGGTGAGACACTTTCCCCATCCGGCGCCTGCAGTCATCGCGTGCGCTCTTGACCACACTTCAATGCACAAGGTGCTAAAAAGAGGTGGTGACAACTCCTGACTGGCTGCATCTTCAGTCAAAAGCACAAATCTTGACGCTGGGCGCCCAGGAGAGAAAATGGACGCAGGCAGGATTCTCAAGTGAACCAGAGAACACAGGCGATATTCTACACGGACCCGAGGACGATGAAATGGATTAAGTCAAAGAGGACGAGGCCCGGGTCCTGCATCGCACCACTGCCTCAGGGAGCATGTCCCGCCAGGCCTACACGGCCACTCCACACCGTCCCGGCCACCGTGTGCCTTCAGTCTTGCCCTCCCACACACACATTGCCCATTAATGGGCCCCAACGGTCAGCCTCTGACTTCCACTTCGGATCACCTCCTACGACTTCCTGGCTCCCCCCAAACCCCCTCCTCCACCCCCATCACACTTTTACTGGAGCATTTCCCCCACACACACCCCCCACCCCCCCTTTCGCATGAATGCCCGCCCCCCACGGGGTGCAAGTGCAGGACAGTCTCACAAAGCCCCCATCTCAAGGGCACCCCGTGGCTTGTTCTGAACAACAAACTGTCCCTGGCTTTCCCTGTGCTCAGTAAGTGTTTGCCACACCAAAGCACCGGGCTAACCCGCAGGAAGTACTCTGTACAGCACAGGCCCAGCCGCCACGGCTGCCGTCTGAACTGCCTCGCTCTTGGCCACCCCCGCGCTACGGGCCACCGGACTGCCCTGCCTCCCCCTTCGGACTTGGCAGCTCACTCTGGCCCCTCTACCTGGAGAGTCTTTACGGCACCTCGACTCACGCAACTGCACCAGCCCCCGCCAGGCTCAGCGACACCTCTCCAATGAAAGGCTCCCAGGCAACCCTAAGTGGGAGCGAGGCGCTCCCTCCTCTCAACCCTCAGCGCATTTCGCCTGCGATCCTGTCTTTGGCACTTGCCACCTGCAACTGCGCGGCGGGGCGTAGGGAGCGGGGGGCCCTGTGCCTGTGCCCTGGCACCCTTCTCTCCAGGTGCACAGCCCAGGCCAGCGAAAGGTGCCTGAGAACAGGCGGCTTGTGACGGCACCGTCCAGCGAAGCCTGCGAGAAGGTTGTAAGCACCTGGATGAGTGTTCCTCTCTTCAAGCCTTCTGAAACATCCTCCTTGGACATGTAGGGCTCAAATATGCTCTTTTTCTTCCCTCGTGTGGGCTTGTTCTTTGACTTTTTGTCACCTGGCGAAGCGCCAACACCATGTGGGCCAACCCCCGAGGGTACACCTAGAAACATGAGGCAGCAATCAACTCTTTCTTCAGTCACCTTTTTCTTTTATTTAAAAAGACCAACATGACAATGAAACTCCCTGATGGTGATTTCAAACAGAGGCACACAAGGAAAACAAGGCTAAGGAAACATTGAAAAAATGTACAGATAAGACTTGAGCTTTAAATCAGCACCAAATATGCACGGAACATAATCTGAATAATGAGTTCGCTGTGCTTTGTGGTTTATGGACACCGACTTTTATAAACTATAAATCACTAAAACATTGTCGATTTTCTGGAGGAAATTAAACAGCTGTCCTCAATATATCAGTAAATTAAGACAAGAAACCACACTTAATTCTAGAGTAAATAACACGGAGAATGTTTAACAGGTCACCAAAGGAATTACAGTCCTCCTCGCCCCAAGACCCCCCACGCCTCCACCCGCTTTTTCAGGTCACCCGTCACAAGAGCACACTCGTCTTCCTTTCGCTACCTCTGGGAGTCCCCAGGGGCCAGAGGTTCGGCTTGGAGTCGGGACGGCTCATCACTGCTTCCCAGGTTGCCTCTTCCCTGCGGATCCGGGGCCTCCAGCGCTCAGCCCAGAGAGCTTCCTGTCTTGAGAGGCTCAGATGTCACTGGCTGAAACCAAAGAGAGACGGTGACTGGAGAGGAGCTCGCAGAGCCCCGGCCTCTGGGAGAGGCAGCGCCACCTGGCACAGCGAGGGCGCCCACCCACGTCCCGCGCCCCTTCCTCAGGCCGTCGGTCAAGCACGCCACCTGCGGAGCTCCTTTTCAAGGTCTTCACCCTTGCAGGTCACACCAGCCTGCCTGTGGGGTCCCTTCAACCAAAGCCCCACAAATAGGCAAAGGGATGCAAAGAAGATGAGCAGGAACCAGAGCCTGAGCAAGGTACAGAGAGCTGCGGTCTGAAGGCCACGGTGGCGTGGGGCCGGGCGGGGCCCACCGGGCGCAACGTCTGGTGAACGGTAGGCCCCAAGGAGCCTCGCGACTCGGCCTCTCCAAGCCTCGCAGCGCCGAGCGCACTGGCACAACCCGGTGCCCAAAAGCGCACAGGTGGTGCCCTGCTTTCGGAGCGGTTCTCAGCCAGTGCGGCGCCAGGTCCCTGTTCTCACCTGCCATCGCTCCCAGCTAGTCGGCAGACCAGAAGCCAGCCAGCTGGTTCTAAGGAATAGCAGGCAGCTGCCCGGATCAGCAGACTGGAATGCGGGGCCCTGCCGCCGGCCCCCCGGCCTTCCACCTGGATGCACAACATGTCATCACAACTTTGACGCTCTGCTCTGCTGGCCACCGGCCCAGGAGTCAAGCCCAGACTTGCAAGTTTCCCAAATCCTGCTTTCCCATAAAATGGATCAAGATGTCATTCGGAACTCTAGCTTCCATTTCCTCTAAATTTCCCACACAGTCCTTCACCAAAATGATGTCATTTTTAAGCTGAAATTCATACCAGCACAGGAGAGAAGCAACAGAGATCAAGGGGAACGGGCCACTTAGTGATACACAAGAGACTTTCTCAGGTCGAGTCAGAAACTGCAAGAAGGGAGAGAAACAGCAGGTCTGAGACCAACAGCAGAGCAGCAGTGAGGCACGTGGAGCCGGCTGAGGGTTCCCGTCACGACGCCGCCAGCCACGCACCAGCTCAGTAAACTGCTGCACGGTACTGAGCTAAGCACAGTGAGAGACACAAAGTCTATCAGATTCATAAAAATCACTGAACTAACAATGAACACAGTTTGGGGGTGACAAGTAGTGATGTATTTTTTTTTTTAAGATTTATTTATTTATTCATACAGAACTGGGGTACAGGCCAGAGGCTCAGGGGCGGTGAGAGGTTTCACCAGA